CCCGGTCAGAACACAGCAGTCCGGGTAGTTATCAAGGGGCAGGAGAGGTGGGCTCACCCCCCACCAGGACCCCCGCCCCGCCAGGGACTGCTCCAGGTCCCGACCGAGTCCTCCCTCCGTCACAAGCCACCGTCCTCTGGCAGGAAAGATTCGCACGGCTACAAACGCAGAGCGGCCCCTCTGCTCTTGCTCTGAGGGGCAGGAGGCTGGCACGGTGCATCCCTCCGCCATCCCACGTGGCCTCCCTCAGGCTCTGTTCCCCCAGACCGACAGCGGGACCGGCAAGCTCACCGAGCACACGCGTCCTGCTCTCCGGGGGGAAGGAAACGCGGGCACTGAGACAGGAGACAGGGCTGCAGGCGCCGAGATACGCAGCTGCTCGTGGACAGAACAGGACGGGGAGGGAGTCCTGGATGGAGAAGGGGCGCCCAGGGCCCAGCGGGGGGGCCCCTCGGCAGACGGGGCTCCCAGCAGGTGTCAGGAGAGGATACCGGGCGCCGGAGCTGAACCCCCCTGCGCCTGTCCCTGTGCCCCCTCACCCTCCCCGCCAACACACGGGAACTCTCTCTTGATCTTCCGGGCACCTTCTGCTTCGCTGACAGCTGGTGACCGTGAAAACCGACCAGGGTGGGGAACACCTGCCTCCCCGGGGACCCCCAGGGACCTGCCAAGCCTGGGCTTCGTGAAGACCACACAGTGTGGACCCTGAGTGGGGGGGGTGGAGTCTGGGTGTCCCCCTACAGCAGCCCAGGCCTCCGCGCCCGGGCCCCCTGTCCTGAGGAGGGCCGATTCGTGGAGGGTCCCCAGCACTCACGGTGACCCTGAGCTCGGCACCCACTCGGCCTTTGCTCCCCGCCCCCACCTCACGCTCCCGGTTCCCCACTCCTGCTTCGGGAGGCCGCCCCTCCCCCCAAAACTGGCCCCCGGGTTCCCTCCTCCGGCTCGGCATTTGGGAGGGTCCCAGGCCAGAACGGACGACCACGTGCAGCCAGCCCCAGACCCAGGGCCTCCGGCAGCGTGGCGTCAGTGGGCGTCCCGGCCAGTCCCGTGCACAGCCCGGGAATCTTTCGCAGCGTGAGGAACTCCCGTCTAGAAAGCTGAGGAAGTATTTTGTTCCATCAGCAAGATACACTTAAACCCAACTAAATCTGGAGAAAAGCAAAGGGTATTTATACTGCAGCTGACATTTCTGCATTAAAAATATATCATTTCCCTGCGGCTTCCAGCCAGGCCCTGAGAGCCCCCGGCTCCCGGGGGCTCCTGGACCCTCAGCCGGGCGGGGGCGGGAGCCCCAGAGCGGGAAGCCCCATGAGTTAGGAGCTCCAGTCGCGGACCCTGAGGGTTTCTGCTCCAATGCCACCCCCGCAAACCCCCAGACCTCCGCGTCACTCCCCCACCCCGCGGCTGCTCTAACAAACTGCCACCTGTGCGGTGACTTGAAACACACATTTATTCTCCGCCAGCCTGGAGGTCAGAAACCTGAACCCAGTTTCACTGGGCTACAGCCAAGGACGGGTTCTGAAGGGAGGCTCCATCCACCTGCCCCTTGCGGCCTCTGGCAGCGCCAAGTTCCCGGCTTCACTCCCTCCTCCACCTTCGAAGCACGTGGCTCTAGTCTTGGTCTCCATGACCATGTGGGCTTCTCCTCTGTGGTAATCTTCTCATGCTATGCTTTTAAAATGACATTTGTCACTGTATTATATTTAGGGGCCATCTGGATGATCCAGGGTAGTCGCTCCGTCTCAAGATCCTTAAATTAAACACATCTGCAAAGTCCTCTTCGCCATATAAAGTAACAGCCACAGGTTGCAGGGCCCAGGGTGTGCGTGTCTGTGGGGGCCTATTCAGCCGGTGACACTCCCAGTGAAAACCAGCACCCGCCTTCGTGCCCCACTCCCTCACTGTGGCTCCACACCTCGCGTGTGACATTTCCTTGTCTACTGTTTGTTCGTTTCCTCTTTTCTCCCAGAATAAGTGCTCCATGAAGGCAGGTGGTTCACGTGGGCTACCTGGAGCATAGCAGACTCTCCGGCAGCTGCTACAGAGCCCCCGAAAGCAATCAGCACGGTAGCTCTGGCAGGTGGACCTGTACGGTCTGGGGGCAGGAACGCACCCACCTCATGTGCTGCTGTATCCCTCCCCCAGGTCTGCACCCGGCACACAGGAAGTTGCTCCATTAGCAGCCGAAGCTGGTTCCCAAACATGAAACGAAGTGCCCAGGTGCCTGGGGTCCAGCTGCACGTCGGCTTGCCGCCCACGGGGTCCCAGGCGCGTCCCTCCCCCAAGCCCACCGCGCCCTGCCTCCCCTTCCGCCTCCCTCTCTGCTCAGGACCACGACGTGCCCGCTTCCTCCTGCCACTTGCCCATTTCAGGGCTCTCCCGACCTGGCCCTAGCCCACCTCCCGCCTCCTCGGCACCCCCTGCCCACCCCTTCACTCTGGCCGGGTCAGCCCCCCACAACCCCACGCACACCCCACGCCCTCCTGCACGGAGCACGCCTTCAAGGCCCGGCCCCCACGCCCACGGCCCCAGGTCTCTGACGACTCTCCCACGCCCACCGGAGGACAGCACTTCTGAGCGGGCCAGCGCAGGTGACCTCACGCTGGCAGGTGAGCTCGGGCTGCGGGCTCCTCGGGGGTGAGTCTCCGACTTGCGCTTCCACTTCCCAGTGCCTTCCAGCCCTTGGGGCTTGCATCAGACGGCCCGGGAGGTCAGGCCCCGACTGGGCACAGCATGTTCTTGACTGCAGGCTTCGCCGCGGCAGGACGGGCCGCCAGCCCAACGCCTGCGCGAGGACGTGTCCAAACAGAGAAACAGGTAAACCCGGCGAAGCCGCAGGTCTGCCCACAAGTGCGCCAGCCCACGGGGAGCAGGCGGGGGCCCTCCCCACCTGCGAGAGGCTCAGGCAGCACAGGAAACCAAAACCAGGACCACACAGTACTGTGGGGGTGGAGGGAACGGGGCTGGGGGCTCCAGTTACATCTGAATTTTAGATACCCAGCACTCTGATTAGTGTATGTGCGTCCCATACAGACACTGCACCTGGGTGTCTTGCAGTTTTATTTGCTACACCGGGGACCCCCAGGGGGTACGGGGTGCCCTGCCTGACCATATCACTCAGAGGGGCTTCCCAAGACGGCAGGCTCAAGGGGAGAAGCGGAACGTGGCCTTGGGGGGCCAGTGATCAGGAGCCAGGTCTGCCATGGGGCCAACGTCTACACAGACTTCGCTAACAAAGGGCTGCTCTCCCGAGATTTACTTCTCATTAAAGAGCTTTTTTAAAAAAAGGCAACCTTCCTTGCTAGCTGTAAAAAAAAGGTGGCTCCAACGCTCTTTTTCCCTTCCAGCATAATTCTGCAAGAATCCACAAACAAAGCCACAGCCCGGCAACAACAACGATCACCATGGAAACAGATCACCTCCATCCCAGCACCGTGACTTCACCTCCCGTTCCCGCAGACCCGGCGGCTGCAGAGCGGTACCAGAAGAATCCTTGTGAAAACAAACACCGAGCCGCGGAAGGGCAGGAAATGGAGCAGCTCTTTCTAATTTTAACTTTCTCCAGGAATGCGTTTGCTCTCAGAGGCTGGGTACAGGCTCTCCAGACCCCGGCATTCCTGTGGCAAAGCCGGCAGCCCCCAGATTCCACAACAAAACGCAGGCTGAAAGCGCCTGGCAGAGGGAGGGGCCCAAGGTGCAATGCTGACTCATAGGTTCTCCAAAATGACTAAGAGGCCAAACCGCGGCATTTGAACAGGAAAGCACTCCCAGACCGGAGCGTGAGCCACAGAGGGGGACAGCGGGCGTGGACTCCGCCTCAGGAAGGCAGCGGCAAGTCATTACGATAAGCAGGAACCCAGGCATGAGGCCAACGACGAGGGGGCCACGGGCCAGAACTGGGAACACCTCGAAAACAAGCCTGCCGATTATCCCCCTGGGAGAGGACGCAGAACGTGCCTCATTGGATTTTTAAAGCCCACGTGGCCAGGCGACAAACTGGGAGGCAGCCTTTGCCATGCCCGCAGCCCAGAAAGGCTTATTTTCCAGAAAATTCAAAAAACTCCAATTCAATTAAGAAAAATGGGCCAAAGCCGTGAAAAAGGTCTTTGCATCAGAAGAAACCAGCAGAGGCAGTAAGCATTAGTTTATGGCTAATAGTAAGGAAAGGAGGAATTTAAAAACGAGTCAGGTGCCTACTGACACCCCCCCGACCAGACGTCCCCCCAAAACGCAGCAGCCCGGGGCCTCGGCCCCTGCCACCTGGGGCTCTCTACACAGCTGCCTGCTCCCCCAAGACCAGCAGGGCAGAACACCTGGTATCAGGAAGAAAGTCACCCACTTAATCGAATCCTGGAATGGCCTCCCTCCCGTCTGGTGGCTTCTGTCCGTTGGAGGCAGGTTGCTGGGCGGCCACTTCAGGGTGGGAACCCCACAGGGTGTGACCCTGGGGAGGTGGGATTGAGGGGCCACAGGAGAGCTGGCCTGCCACGGACAGGGCACCGTCCCATGTATACAGTGGTTATAAACATAAAAAACAAAGGGCTTTGCACAGGGACCCACGCTTATTGCTATGTAGTTAAACTACAAATAAATACAAGGAAACAATGGCCACAACATTAAGATAGGGATTGCCCTAATGCTTCTTGCAATTCGATCAAACACATTTTGGGGGAGGCAGGCGAGAAGGACATGGGCTTGGGCTGGGGCACCGGGAACTTCAAAGTCAAGGGTGAAGTTCCACTTCTTGGCCAGGGTAGTGGCTGTGCCTATCTCTAGGGGCGTTTAGAGCTTTGGTGATTTTCTATTCATTCCGAACATTTTCAAGTATTGTTAATAGCTCAAGACTTAGGGACCCCATGGCTTGGCTCTTTGGTACCCCATGGAACCGTCAGGACAGGTGCCCTGTGCCGCGTGGGACCTCGGAAAACGCCCCCGCCTCCCAGGCACTCGCCTTGCCCCGCAGAGAACAGAGCAGCTCCGACCTAGAAGCACAGCCCCACCTGGAAATCCTTCTCCTGCTCCCGGCCAAGCTGAACTCAAGACCTCCGGCTTCTACCTGGCAGCCCTCTGCTCCTGAGTCAGAATCCAGCTCCTCCCGGGCTGCAAGCGGCTCCGAGAAGTGGCCCCACCCCCGCGTGCTCCCGGGCCTGTAATCAGGGCGTGGGTGGTGGGCTGGGCAGGTCTCCGCCTCTCGGCCTTAGCCCAGCGCTGCCCCCCAAGGCCTCGAAGTGCCCGGTGGTGTGGGATCTGTCCCTCTCAAGGCATTTGAAAACAAGAGCCATCGGTGGCTGGGAGCTGGGAGCCACCCAGGCCACATCCTGTTTGGCTGCGGCGTTGATTCAGTCATGCCAATATTGCGGAACAAAAGAACTTTCTGCACGGGCTTAAGGGAGAGACGCCTGCCGCAGGGAAGGAGCCCAACCAGAGCTCACCGCACTGGCCGGGGGCACAGGCTGCCCAGGCTCGGGCCTGCTCAGCCTCGGGGGTCATGGGACCCACCGCTGACAGCGGGCCAGCACCTGGGACTCTGCATTTTGCCCAGCCCTCCATACCCCAGTGTCTCAGGCTCTCTAGCACTTGCCGAATGGGTGCGTGACCACGCTCTTTTGGAGGTGCAGTGAGGAAATGTACGCTGTACACAGACCACGAGTCACGTGGACGAGGGCAAACCCTGTGAGGCGCCGGCGGTGGCGGCCACCTGCGCTCCGGGCATGGTCTGAAAAGGAATGAGGACCCCCTGGAAGCCTGGCACCCAAACACCTGGCTCCTCCTCAAGAGCTGAGGAAGGGACCAGAAATGTGTTATCTCAAACAGGCCTGGGCATTTCAATGAGGACAGTTGTGGTTTTTAACTGCAATGTGCCGTGAGTCCCAGTCGGGGACCAGGTCAGGAGGCCTGGCTTTGTGAAGCAGAGTGGTGAGCTGAAGAACCTTCTGGAAAGCCCAGACCACAGGGAAGGGGCTCATCAGTGACACTCCAAAGTGGCCACCTGGCCCTTTGCCACATCACGTGAGAAGGGTGAGCCTGGACGTTCCCAGGCCTCTGGTGCTCACCCAGCACAGGGACTGCGAACTCTGCAGCGTCAGCACAGCACCTGGGACCTGCCCTCTGTCCCCGCGCGGGCCGCAGGGGCGGCGTTCCCGAGCCGTCCTGGGGCGGCCCAGGGTCAGGCGCCTGGCTCCCACCCGGACCTGCCTGCTTGTCTCTGAAAGGGGCAGCTGCGGGCAGTGAGTCAATGAAACACAGCGGCAGCTCCAGGTCCTGTCCCCACGTGGGCACACACAGACCCCCTTCCCAAGGCTCCTCCCACCGGCCGCCCCGTGTCCCTCTCCGGCCGAATCTCGTCCCTTCACTCGCATTCCGGCTCCCCTCCCAATTTATCCACCTGAAGACGCCGCAGGCCCAGCCCCAAGGCACAGAGCACGGGCCCCCCACCAGCCCAGGCCGCACGTCGCTGGACCGCGGGGCCCCTGGCCACTCAAAATGCAGCTCCCAGACCAGCAGCCCCTCGGCCAGACCTCCCGGGTCCGGGCCGGCCTCCTACCAAGACCCTGCCCGTGCACACAGATCCGGGATGGGCTGGGCGGGCGGACGGCGGGTCTGTCTGCTCTCCCGGGGTCGGGTTCCGTGAGAACCCTTCTCTCCTAAGATCGCGGACCCAAGCGCAGGGCCCGGGCCTGCGGGCGTGGGTGCGCTCAGCCACTTGCCCGGGGCCAGGTGGGTGCCGGGGCCAGCTGCCACGTCCACCGCGCACCTGCTTTACTCGGCCATCCTCGGAGGGGAGACGGCCTCACCCAGCTCCCATGCACCAACCCCTGGCCCCGAGGGGACAACCAGACAAGCAGGGCCCTGGGCCACCAACAGGAACCCCCCGCCCCCGCCCCCGCCCCGCCCAGCTCAGGCCTAGCGCGCCGGCCTGGGCATTTCAGAGGTGTATAAACAGGCCCATTGTCTCCGCCGCTCTGCTCCCGTTCTCGAGTTCACCTGGCAAGGAGACGCCGCCGCTTGTGTTTGGAAACCAGCTCCCTGGCGGGCCGGGCGAGCGGCTCACCTCTAAACGCTGGGTCCAGGAGAACAAAGAAGGCGCTGTGGGCGAGAGACAGGCCCCGGCCTGACCCGGAGGGGGCTGGGCCCCCAGAGCCCGGCTTTGAGGAACTGGGCAGCCGCTGGCCGGGGTGAGGAGGGCCCGGGCTTCTCCCTGGCCGGGGGTACCTGCGTCTGGACACTCGCTGTGGTCGCCGTGCGAGGCGGACGTGGGTGCAGAAGGCAGGGGGCGCGAGCCCCCCGCCACCCACCGATGTCCCGGCCGCGCTCTTCCAACGCACTCGCTTTCAGAACAGACTTAGATCTGTAGAAAAGTCGGGGTGAAAACAGCCCATTGTACGTAGGGGATGTTTTACACAAACCTAATGGTGACCCCAGAACACAAATGCAGAACTGAGACATGAAACAGAAGAGAGGGAACGGAGAGAAATCGCACAAGAGCTGTGTAGAGAATGCAGCGGGTTCCCAGCCCCGCTCCCCCGACTCCTGACTTCTCACAGCAGGACTGCGCGCCCAGGCGCTGGTGAGGTGGGCATGGTGCACTGTTCACTCATCTCCACCCTGCGCCCAGACTGCCACTGTTTCCCCCCCGCGCCCCTCTTCCACGCCAGGATCCCAGTCGGGGCCCCATGCGACGTGTGGCTGTGTCTCCCACGGCCCCTCTCGGCCGTGAAGCCTTCTCCCGGCGCGGGGCGACCCTGGCAGCCTCGGGCAGGGCCGGCCAGGCATTTCCTAAGTGCCCCTCGCTTGGGGCGTGCCTGACATTCCTCTCGTGGTTACTGTGGGGTCATGGTTTTGGGGAGGAAGGCCACAGAGGTGAAGCACCCTTCTCACTTTCTACCAAGGGCACACCTGTCGGCGCGGCTCGCGGCTGCTGAGGCCGACCCTGGTCCCCAGGGTCCTATGGAGCCCCTCTGCAGGCCCCACCCTCCCTCTCTACTGAAAGATTTCCCCGCATCCACTGCCAGCCAGAGGGTGTGAACACAAGCTCTTCTATTTTTAACAAAACAAGCAAAGCAAAGTACCCAGCACATTCCCAGGAAGAGAGCCTGGCTCAGCCGCCGCAGCTCCGTGGAAGCCGTGCAGCTGCCTCTTGGCCACGGACACGCGCTCCGGCCCCCTCAGGGGGAGCGAACCTAGAGGCGTGGGGCGCGCGGCGAGCCGTTTAACACTGCGGGGGGCGGGGGGCAGGGAAGGGGGCGCCTGGGAAGTGTGACTGGAGATAACCTGGCCTGGGTTTACAAAGAGGCAGTTTTAGGGGAGCCCAGACACCAGCGGCCCGGCTCGCCCCGCGCACACCTGGCCAGGTGAGCCCGTGCTGGGTGCAGGTGGCTGCCCTGCAGGGACGGAAGGGCTGCCTGCTGAAGCCCCTCGAGTCTGCGGTGTCCTTCCCGGGGGTCATCAGGTGACGGCCCTTAACCCCAGGGGCTCAGGCACCTCGGGAGGACCCACGGGTCCCAGGCACTGGCCACCACCCACCTGGAGAGCTCGGTGTCTGTGTGGGGCTTGACCGCATGGGACTGGCGGACACCTGAGGGTGCAGGGGGGCGGGGGGAAGTAGTAACACATCCTCTTTCAAGACCCTTTTGGGGAGAGACACAGGGCGGGAGGGTTAGGAGGGTGGGCTCCAAGTAGGGGCACTTTTGCTCCATTTTTGACCTTCCAAGCTGGGGTGGACCACTCGGTGCCTCAGTTTCCCCACATGCTACACAGAGAAGCTCCCAGTAACCGCCTCACCGGTGGGATTCTAGAATGAGACGTGAGCTCCTCAGGCAGGGGTGGGTGGAAGCTCTTGTCACCCCACAGAATGCAGGCCCGGTGGCCTCGGTGGGTGGCTGAGCCGCCCTGGGGAAGCTGCCCCCCCAGCGCAGGGAGAGGGCAGCAGCGGGGGCACGCTCGGCCCTGCCTTGCACTGGCCGTCCTAGGAGCTGCGGTCACTGCCCCCATCACTTGGTGGCCCGAGGGATTCCGTGCCGGGACAACGAACTCCGCAGCCAAAGCCGAAGGCCTCGTCTGCCGCGGAGCCCCCAGCACAGAGCGGCCGCCCCCACCAGGACCGGGGCTCGGCTCCCGTGCCACACCAGTTCAGAGACGTCCAGTCCGCACCGGCCCTCCCACGAGGGCCGGGCCAAGGGAGCACCCGACACCAGCTGTGAGCGGCGGGGCGTTGCGGGGAGGGGCGGCAGAGAGGGGAGCCGGGAGCTGTGCCCGGCCATAAACGCCTCGCTACCCCTGCACGCAGGGCCAGCCCGTCACGCACGCAGAAGCCTCGGGGCGGGGGGGGCTGAAGATTCCAGAAGCCGCTGGGCTCCGAGGGGGCCCAGCGCGCCGCGAGCTGTAACTCAGGAGACCACTGTGGACTGCGAGCTGAGTGTCTGCGGGACCACCCAGCCCACCCACTCCACCCACTCCACCCAACGCGGCACTGGAGGGGCCGCAAAGCAGGGTCAAGTCCAAGACGGCCGCCCACGAATCCTGAAGTGACCATTTTCCCACGGCTGGTCAGACGCTGACCCGCTGAGACAGGTGAAAACATTCCTTCTCGAAGGTTCAGGCACCGCTGCCAAACCACACCGGTCAAGCCAGACCCACAAAAACACTTGGCAGTGAGTGGGCTTACAGCCTGTGTGAGCAGCGCTGCCTACAGCCCCCCCAAACCCAGGCTTCAGAAGGGGGCGGGGCTCCAGGGCAGCCTGCGGCCGGGGGAGGGCGGCAGGAGAAGGCCTCGCTGTCTGCCCCTGCGGGTCGGCATGTGCTCGCCTTCCCCTGACGCAGACGGCTCCCCACCAGTGCTGCCCCCGACTGCTCTCCAGCAGCACTCCGGGCTGCAGGGAAGCCGCTTACCTGGCGGGGCGCTCGCTGAAACCCTGTCTGAGAGGGCAGGACGGGGCGGGCAGTGTAGAAACTGGGGAGCGCCCAGGAGTGACGCACTACGCTGACCCCCATCAGCCTCGATGCAGGCGTCACGACCAAGTGCTGTGAACAGCTCCCGGAGACGGCCCTGCGCCTGGCAGCCACGCAGGTGACGTCCGTGTGGCCTGCTCCCCAGGACGGCCGGGGGAAGCAGCCGCAGGCTGCAGGGTGGGTACGAAGGACCCCGTTTCGGCAACGACGCCCACGAGCCTTTATCTCGCAGCAATGAGTGGGGGGCCACCAGGTGGTTTTTAATTTCTCCTGCGGGGTCGGTTTTCTACACGTACGATAAGCACGGGTTGCTCATGAACCAAAAGAAAA